AAGATGCACACGACCCAGAAGGACACGACGTACACCAAGATCTTCGTGGGAGGGCTGCCCTACCACACCACCGACGCCAGCCTGCGCAAGTACTTCGAGGTCTTTGGAGACATCGAGGAGGCGGTGGTCATCACCGACCGGCAGACCGGCAAGTCCCGGGGCTACGGATTTGTAAGTTACACGAAAGGAAGACTGGAGATGGGTAGGGGGCAACTAAGAGAGGTTCTGGCGGGGAGATCGAAGACAGGCCAGAAGGCATCAAGTGGCCCCAGGCCCTCGTGGGTCAGAGGTTGGGGTGAGGGGCAACGTGGGAGCTCGCGGGACGCCACCTCCACTAGGAGCAGAGCTGAAACTTTAAGGCTGATGAGGCTTGGGGAGCGAGGGCCTGTGCCTGCTTCTCAGGGTTCTAAGAGAACCTCGGGCTCTGCTCTTTCGGTGGTCGGAGAGCTCGGGAATGAGAGCCAGATCTGGGACGTAGGGAGCTGGGAGGGAGAGAACGAAAGCCCCGCACCGTAGCATTCCCGGGTTGGAGGCTGGTTGTTAAGCGCTCTGTTGCTTTGTTTAAAAAGAAAAAAGAAAAGAAAAGAAAAGAAAAACAAAGTGTGTGTGTGTGTGTGTGTGTGTGTGTGTGTGTGTGTGTGTGTTGGGGCGGGGGGGGGGGAGTGACAAAAGAGAAGATATTGCCCCCTCTTGTCACACCCCTACCTTTTAAATTGCAAAGGTAGGTTCTTTAAAAAGAGAGAGAGAGAAAGAAAGGAAAAGCTGACCCTCTGGCTGTTTGCCTAACTGAAATAGCGCATTAAGCTTCCTGGAGATTTAAAGGGGCAAATTCAGCTGCTCTAAGAGCTAGGAGCCCTGGAGCAGGACAATCGCTATTGTCGCTAGGGAGTGTTTCCCTGTTGGGAGCTACCGGCTGGTTTGAGACTGGACTTTGTTTAAAGCTCACAGAGCCTCTGGGACCCGGTTGGGACACTGGGAAGGGGGTAAATCGTCAGGCGATTTCAGAATTATGGCTTCCAAATCTCTATTAGGCCCCAAATTAGCACCCTTAGGACTTTGGGTGGGGGCGGAGGGTTTCTTCCTTCCTCCTTTCTTCTTTCTTTTATTTATTTATTTTTAAACAGAGGATGAAGGGTTAATGTTCCAATCCCCTCCCAAATAAGAAAGAAAAGAAAAGAAAGCAAGCTTGGTGACTTCAGTATGTTTCCTGTAGGGGTTAACTGAGGGCTTTGTGTGTATGTCTGTGTATGTTGCTAAGGTCACCATGGCTGACCGAGCTGCTGCTGAAAGGGCCTGCAAGGATCCCAACCCCATCATTGATGGTAGGAAGGCCAACGTGAATCTGGCATACTTGGGAGCAAAACCAAGAATCATGCAGCCAGGTAAGCCATGCCCTCCCTTCCCCCTCCGGACTCCCCACTCACTGGCTTCAATGACCCCATTGCTACCCCCAGCCCACTGGCTTCCTGAAAATCTGTAGTGGTGTTTGGTAAAACTTGAGCTGCGACTGGTTATTCCATCAAGGCATTAAAGATACATGAGCATTCTGAGTGTGCCGCTGGGTACTTGAAATGTATCTATGTGCAAAAATAGAACTTAGGTTCTAGATAGCTTGCACCCAGAAGTTAATTCATGAATTTCCTATCTGATGATACATATTTTTGTCCGCTTTCATTTTTTACTAGCCACTTGTAGCCAAAAAGGTAAACTCTTGGTGTGGTCTAGGCCAGTTACACTACACTCACTGCAGGCTTGGTTAGAACACATATTTTCACATACAGAATACTAGCCATCAAACACTTACACATAGGAAGTTTCACCTTTACAGGTTACAGATTTTTTTTTAAACTGATACTTACTTAAAGATGAGAAACAATTTATTAAAATCCCCATAGCTGTTAGTTGACAACGGGATGTGGTATTTTTGACTATGTGAAAATACGACCTGTTGTGTTACTTGCTACTGCCCTTTACATTCATTGAAAGTAACTCAGTCGACAATAGAGTGAATGTATTCAATTCCCTGGGCAAGCAACTTTCTTGACTAAATCAAGTGCTTTTTCACTAAGCCTTTCCTACGGAGGTTTAAAAAGAGCTTGACATTTTTGTTCAGGGGCTCGGTTGTCAGAAAGGGAATACATGGAGAAATACCCACGAACATTCAAAACTATGTCTTTCTAAACTACCCTTTGTGTATGCACTATTCTTAAAAGAATGATGGGGAAATTAGGTTTTTGTGAAAGTTTTAATACCATAAGCTGTAAAATTTTCCAAAGCATCCCAGAATATTCCAAATTGCAAAGACTTTTTATCCTTATTTATTCTTTTTTTCCCCTTATAGGTTAGGGATATTTGTGAATTTAACTTTATTGTTCTTGGGTTTCCGTCATGAGCAGTTTTCTCTGGTCTAAATTTTTTCAATCTTTTTTATGGCTGTTAACTAAATTTTCCTTTTTTTTTAAGTTTTCCAATCTTAGTCTACCCAAATGTTTATTTAGGATGATTGACAACATTTATAGAACATACACTTTCCATAGATAAAGAACGTGCCCACATATAGTCTAAAGTATCATAGGAGTGTTCCTTTTTTAAATCAGAAATTATGACTGCAGTTTCTGGTTGGGATAGTAAGTCTCTAATTGTGTACAAATGGAAAATGTGTCTTTTATTGTTAGGTTTTGCCTTTGGTGTTCAACAGCTTCACCCAGCCCTTATACAAAGACCTTTCGGGTAAGTCAATTCATCAAATGCTTCAAAGTTTCAACATGGCTACCATTTGTTTCTCTGTCTCTTTGTTATGAACAGACAAGGTCGACAAGTCACAGAATGTTCCGGGGTATGCATATTTATATATGCTTATGTATTTTTTAATGCTGATACTATAAATATTTTTAGATGAGTCAAGTTATCTGACCAAGTATGCAGTCTCCAAACCAGCCAAATGTTGGGCTTATGATTAACCAAACCAAACCAAACAAACAAAAAAAAAATACCAGGTATGACTTGTGCACAAGACATGTGTCCCATCACCATCCCTGCTGTTCAGCTTGACTCAATGTTATTTATCTCTTTCTAACCTGACAGGGCTCGTATACAGTTAAGCTAACTGATGAGAAGGATGCCATGATAAGAGGTGGACTAGTTCTCTTTGGAATTAAACTCTGTAACCAGTAGACTCAGACACACAAGCTCAGATGGTGATTAACCGTGCATGGATGTTGGTGGTGTTGTTTTTATTTTTTCACTATAGTCCATAGCCCTCCGTGTGCTTTATTTTATTGATTACAATAATGAAGTGGTGTTGATAGCTAAACTGTGTGCTTTGACTTAATTGAACAGAGCTGTAGTGAGTGTTTTCTTTTCCTTGGGGAAGGGGCTCTTTGCCGTTTGTTTTTGGTGGTGGTGGTGGTGGTGGTGAGTAGTGTTGACTTTTGACTTTGCCATGGGAAGCAAAGGGCCTTTTTTTTCCCTCCTGCTTTTAAGCTATTAGCCTGTGACTTCCATTTAACATTTTTGTAGTGAGTGCTAAATTGTGTGATTTTTTTTTTCTCTGTAAGAATACAGATTCACTGCTTGCATGTTGTAAGTCTCTGTTGTCTGGGGGTGGGCTGTCTTTTGCAATGTATGTCCACTTCCAGGTCTTCTGATAGAGGTTCAGTGGCTCTATTCAGATTTCATTAACACTCACCAGTTTGGGCTTTTCTCCCCACTTAATTTTGTTTGGTTTTGTTTTGAGTAGCACCGTACTAACTCCCACCTTTCAGACCTAACAGGTGAACAGCCTGCTCATGTTTGTGTTGTCTCTGGGTTGTTATTACCAGCTCCTGAGGTCCCCAGCTCTTGTACATTGAACATGACACAGGTGGGAGACCACCCATCCATTTATCCTGGGCATGAGAGTCTGTTTCCACTATCTCCCACCTGATTGATATTCTTGTGACTCTAGTTCTTTTTTGAATATCCAAGTGGTTTGAAGAATTTTATAGTTATTTAGCTTAGGACTAAACATCTCCATGGATCACCTAGAAGGCTAGACTCCATTTGCACAGGTAGATAGCTACCTTGATCATTTCCCAATATGAGCTAAACCAAAACCAAGTAGTAAGTTGATTTGGAAGAAGCAAGTTAGATTTTGATGGACACTTTCTTACTACCCTCTCATTACTTTAATCTATGAGTAACTTACTCTTAGAGACATCTACAACTTTTTTGTAAAAAGCTATAGTTAAGTATAGCTATGTATCAAAGTCGCCTTCCAAACCAACTTGGATATGGACAAGAAATAATGAGTTAGTTGTAGTATTCATTTCCCGCGCTCTCTTTCTCTCTCCCTGCCTCTCTCTTCCTCCTTCCCTCCCCCTCCCTTTCCTTATCTCTCTGCTGACATTTCATTGGTGTGGACTATCAGTCAAAGTGGGACTCTGGAAGAAAACATACACCTGTACACCTGAAGGTGTAATAGTGAACTCAGTCCTGGCCTCCAAGGAGTCGTTGTGAAGAGCATAAAACCAAATCAGTTAACAGCTGTTCTTATGTGCTCATCACTTTGTAAAAAGAAGCTGTGCTTTCAGTTGTGGGGAGCAAGAAGATGGCAAACAGCCAAGAATTATTTGACTCAAGTTTAAGAGGATTCAGACTCTCAAGGAAACCCATGGATCGGGAGACTTGTATAAGCTGCGAGGAGGGGGACTTGACCTAGATGAGGGCACTGGGTGTTTCTAAGAGGTGTGATGGGATAAACTAGCAGGAGAGCCCAGGAGAGGGGCTAAGTGTATAGATAAAAAACTACAGTGTACCTGAGGGCTGGTTGGTTGCATCTGGCCTGGCTGTGGCAGTCCTTCTAGACCTTGAGAAAGAAAGTGACTCATAGGAGAGGAGAACCACCAGGGTGCTATGTATTACGTGGAAATCAAGTGTGTTTTGATAGTAGCCTTTTGTTATTCATCCCTTCTGATATTAACTGTCATTATAAAGAATGGTGATTGTTAAAGTGTGCTTAAACTGTTTGAACTTGAGATGCAAGTTGAACTTGAGATTAGATGCAGATAGCATTCCAGGTAGATCAAGTAAGGGTTTTCTTTCTTTTTTGAGTGGTTCTCAGCACTGCCCCGATACCAAGTCTGTAACCACCAAATTGCACCTGGTCACCCTAAACGCCATTTGAATGCCATGTTCTTATCTTAGGCCTGCCTGAAAGCAAGCTTGAGAATTCTTACACTTTTCACTTGTTTAAAAGGCTAGTGAGGAGACTATTAGTTTTCTGTGGTCCTTAAATGGCCCCTGGGTTACCTAAGGTCTTTAAAGACAAAAACATTGCTGAAAGAACTTGTGATTTAGCACAGAAGGCAAACGCGGAGGAACTTGTGGCCTTGATGAGCATCAGCTTCTAAATGGTCTATGTTGGAGGAAGGTATTTTCTCATCACAACTTTGTAAAGGAGATACTGCAGGTTTGTGAGTGGAGACTTAAGGTATAGTTTACACCAAGTTAATCACATACAAAGCACCCTTTCAGTGCTTAGGTGTAGGCAAGAGATGGTGACCCAGTGTACATTGAGCTTAGAACTGATAAGAAATTTACATAAATTATGCCATTTAATTATTTGATAAGCATCATTAAGGTTATTTCTTGGGGGCAAACAAAACAAGTGCAGGCAGGTTAATTTCACACACACACACACACACACACACACACACACACACACACACACACACACCCACAACTAACAAACAAGTC